TTCCGGCCAGCTTCCGGTTTTGGACTGTGCTGATGAAGTTGGGGAAGAAAAAGAGATGATATCGGGTGGTGAAGAGGATTACAAAACATTTCTTGGTAAAAGAGAAGCTGATGTGGGTGTAGAGAAAATGGATTGTCGACCGGGTAAGAAGCTGGAGATCGAACGTGATAATGTCGTGCAAAATGAGGAATATGTGAGTGGAGAAGGTTTAAAAGGCTGTTTGATGATCGATGGGATTTGGAGGAAAGTTGGAGATGAAGAGTTGTTTGCAATTTCATCGGCTGTGAAATTATTGGTTTGATAATTTTTTTCAACTAATATTTTTTGTTTCTTATACTGTGAACACTTGACAGTTTTGCATACATCAAATTGACTACAAGGAAAGGCACAAGATCCTCAAAAAAACCATAAAATCATGTTTTTGCTGGCCATATTTGCTGCATCTCTCACACTCTATATAGTATTTCTTTCTTTCTTGTACACATCCATGCATGCAGTCAGATTACTTTTTTGGGACTTCGATGGGCTATTTTGCGTTTTAATATTTGGTAATTAGATAATATTGTAGTTAGATTACATTGTGCATTGGAGATAATTTTTTAATTTCATATTTATAAGATTAATATTTTTTACATGAATCACAATCCATTTAATTTATTGATATTTGTCAAAATTTATTCTATAGCATTAAAGCATTGAAGATGCTCTTATGTCTTATTTTGTGAAATTGGTAATATCAATCCAACTAATCATTTTTTTTTTTTTTTTGTCGATTTACAAATTTATGAAAATTCGAGGATTGTTGTGCGCGTCTAGCCGGTTGTCACGATCTACAAATTGAATTTTTTAAATTTTTATGACTAATTTATTTAACAACTACATTGACTTCACATGACTGTTTCCGATCACAAGTGCATCGTTAGTGATACGTGTTGCAGTATTATATGGTATAAATTATAAATATTTCAAAATTTGACTGAAAATGCTTAAACTAATACATATCCAAATTTATGTAATATAATTGTTATAGTTAGAATATGGTCCTATCATTTAGAAACATATATTATATTTCTCTTTTTTGACATACGCAACCATACAACAATTGAGTATGAGTATTAGCTTATAGTATTTGATTATTGCTCTTGTAGAGTAAAGATAGTACATGATAAATGGAAATTGTAGAGAATACATAACACATAGCCATAAGGGAAATGGACTATCTATTATTACATTTTGTGTTGCTTAATTATCTCAATACATTTGTTGTTAAATGCGTTCTGGTCGAGAGTACTGTTACAATTCCGTGGCACGTTATCAACGGTGTCTATATCACGAAACGACCTCCTGTCGAAATACCAATCACCAATAGCCTCCGCTACCGACTGCAAAATTATTAAAATTTAGATAAATCGAAATCCTAATATTAATTAATTTATTAAAAAAAATAAAAAAACTCACTTTATTTTCCAATGTATTT